GACGCCGAGGTGCGGCGCGCGTGCCAGCTCGTCGAGCGGCTCAAGCAGGAGCACCGCAAGGAGTCTCTCGAGATGGAGCAGCTGTGAACAGCGTCTCTTCACACCTGCAGCTGTGAGCAGGAGCACCGCAAGGAGTCACTCGAGATGGACGCGCTCTTCGTCGACCCCGACTCTGTCGACGTCAAGACGTGGCTCGAGAAGCGGTCGCTCGGCGAGTTTGCAAAGCTGTATATCTCCCCATATCTCCCCACATCTCCCCATATCTCCCCAGGTCGCTCGGCGAGTTTGCAAAGCTGTTCGAGCGGCACCGGGTCGACTTCGAGGTGCTCGGCGACCTCACCTACGAGGACCTCAAGGAGATGGGCCTCAACGAGGTCGGGCCGCGCCGCCGCATCCACCGCCAGATCGTGCAGTGGCGCGACGACCGCGAGGCCAAGAAGGCGGACGCCATCCGGTCGCGGATGCAGGTGCAAGAGAACAAGGCCTACCTCGAGAGCCAGCAGCAGAACGTCGACGACCGGCTGCAGCACCTCAAGGCGTCGCTCGGCGAGTCGGGGTACGTCACCGGGTTGCGCCCGTCAAGCGGCTGAGGAGCGCGGGCGAGGGGGCGGCGCAGCGCCGCGCTGTGCGTGCGAAGCACAGCGGGGGCCAGCCGTGGGAGGCGGTGCCACCGCAGAGGAGGAGAGGGGCAGCCCCTGCCGCTTGCGTATGGGTGGGCGCTGGGCGAGAGGGGCCCACTACGCACGGCGGGCGAGGTGAGAGTACCTAGCGGAAGCTGACTGAGGAGGCGTAATCACGCGTGTCGACTGTCGTGTGTGTTCGTCTCTCTTTTTGGGGTGTGTGTGTGTTTCGGCGTGTCTGCGCCCGGCTGTCAGTGTGTGTGAATAGAGTCGCATCGTGGCTCGCCACACGGCTCTAGCCTCTACGCGAGAAACGACACCATGTACTCTACAGACTACACCCACCCAGGCCCCGCACCTCGCCGCGTCCGCACCGTCTCACAGACACCTTACGTTAGTCCCCTTACACACCGAGATCCGAGTCCACCACGCACCAGACTCCAGAGGAGTGTGCAGAGAAGAGCAGAGAGTGCAGAGCGCCTAACCCTAAGCGCGCGCGCGGCACACACATCACATACACACATGCACACAACAACGGCGACGCAATGTAAGTCAAACACGTGCGCACGACTCAAACGAGTGTGGCGCGATGGGCCTAGATAAGGCAGCCAAAA